CCTCCCACACTGAGAGTCTGCTTTGCCTTTCTGCGCACGGCCGGCCGGACCCCTTTACAATGTGCAAGTTTGGGGACCCCTGGATGCCCCTCAGTCTTGTGCTAACACTTCTCCTTGAGAACAGAGACCATCTTGTTCTTGCCCAGTGCTTGGCCAAGTAAGTCCCCAGCAAAAGCCCCCACTTACTGAAGGAACACACACCCCATATCACATGCCCCCACGCCTGGGTGATGAGGTGGGGAGGGGGGTTCTGAGAGCCGGAGGGAGCAGCGGGAGAGAAAAAGGGACAAACATGGGGAGCCCCAGGCGGAGGGACAAGGAGCGAGGTGGCTCTCCGGGAGGACAGTTCTAGGGACAGTGATCAGACCGGGCAGGCCGGAGCCGGAGCCACCAGAGAGCTCCTCCTCGCATCCCTCCTTCCTGCCAGGGCCGCCGAGATCAGCCTTGCTCAGGGCTCTCCGCTGCTGTCTCCCGCTGCTCCCGGAAGGGGCCTAGTGCAGGGGGCTAGTTTCTGCTCTGCAGCCCCAGTGCCAGCTCCTCCATCCAGCTGGATGGAGCCCGATGAGGGCCCAGGCTGGCTCGAGGGGGTCTTCTTTGTCTCTGGTTGAAAACAGACCTTTGCTTGTGCTCGCCAGGTCTCTCCCTACCCCCTACCCGGCACCTCTGCCGCAGATGGGCACAGAGACGGCAGGGGGCGGGCGGGCCGGGGCCCCTCCCTGCCTGTGGTACACGCTCACCCTCCCAACACCACCTTAGCGCGGGTAGGCACTGCCTCACCTCAGCCTCACCTTTGGGTGTCTCTAGAGCCCTGATTACACTGCAGGGAGCCCAGAATAACTAACTCGCCCAGGACGGGTCTGGGCCCTTGTCAGGTGACACCCGGGTCTGCCCCACGGCCCCAGGCTCACAGGGTATCGATGATGGTCCAGCCGAGCTGTTTCCTCGGATGCACGCGGGCCTGTGCTGAGGGATCCCGCTCACTTCCGGATGAGCCCTCCCTGCAACCAGGAGGCAGAGGCTGTGGTGTTTTTAATTTTAATTTTTCAAACTTTTTTTTTGATATGTAATTCCCCTCCCCCATCCCGCGCGTCCCCCTGTCCCTTCCTCACTCCTCTGCTAACCTCAGAGACCTCAGGGCAAGTGTCGACGTCAGCTGTTTTTTTTTAAAAGAGTTTTATGTTACCGAATTGTCTGCTATAACATGTCCAGCATTTGTTTTTGTTGTTCTGACTTGCTTTGCTGCACATACTCCCAGCTTCCTGCTGTTTGGTTGAGAATGCCGGCGTGCCCTCCTTTCTCATGGCTGCGTAATACTCCGTGGTGTGAGCAGTAAATGCTCCTGATTTACTCCTGGCAGTGGCTTCCGGGCTGCTCCCGGCCATTGTAAATGCTGCTGCTGTGGCAGCAGCTGGGCACGCGGGTTCTCGTAGTCACGCTTTCTTGTTATTTGGCTGGATGCCCAAGGGCAGGATGGCTGGGCCACACAGAATCACCATTTTTAGTGTTTTAGGGTCAATCCACATCACTTTCCCTGACAGCCGCCCCACTCACATCCCACCCACAGGGTAAAGGGCTCCTCTTGCTCCACACTCTCAGCACTCGTGCGCGCGTGTGTGTGTGTGTGTGTGTGTGTGCGTGTGTGTGTGGGGGGTCTTTAAATATGTGGCATTTTCATGGCTTGAGAAGTACAGGTCTCCCCACCAGCGGAAAACAGGTGTTCCTATTTGGGGTGATTTGGTAGGTTATTTGGGGGGTTTGGGAACACTCAAATTTTTTTTGGTATAATTTTTTTTTATTTTGTATGCATTTTTGATATAAATTAATAGCATTCCCAGTCTCCAAAAATGACCTGCCAAGTCACACTGGATAGGGACATTCTGCTTTCAGAGAGAGGGCCAAGTCACTTCACCTCCCTGCGCCTGGCTCCCTCAGCACAGACTGGATGAGCGCAGCTGGGACCTCGCAGATTTGCTGGGGGATTAAATGGATTCACTACACAGGGCGCTGAGGGGCCAGAGCTCGGGGCCTGGACTTTGTAGCTGTTCTCGTTGCTCATGTGACTCTCAAGCCGCATGCACACCGCAGCACTCAGGCCTGTGGGTCGCTGACTAGTCACAGCTGCCCCAGCACCGTGGGAAGCTGAGGAGTGACCCACGGCCTGGCATCTGGCAGCTCCTGGGAGGCCCAGGAGTCACCCACAGCCTGGCGTCTGGGGGCCGGCAGGAGCTCCAGAAGAGCTTCGTCATATCGGCCCAGCGGGTCCCTGCCCGCAGTCGAACCCTCAGCCAGGGGAGTCACACAGCTGGAGCTGGCACAAGAAACTTTCTCTTGAACCCCCAGGCGTAGGGCTTCCACGAAGGGCCCTCAGCTGCAGTCTGTTGGGCAGGAGGTGTGGCGGCCTCATGAGGCACGAGGACAGAGGCCGGCACGGCCCTGATGAGGAGGGCTCCAGCCCGGGGGGCTCCTCTTCACTCCCCTCTGGGGTTCTTGGGGAGTGGGTTTCTGCACTGGGAACCCCATGCCCCTGGGCTGAGCACCAGGCCAGGCCCAGTCCATGTCCCCCCGCTCCCCGGGTGCTGGGGTCCCTTGACCCCTGGTGGGGCAGGTGACAGTGCTGTAACCCTTCAATGAGATCCCTTCCGAAGCTGGCTGGACACAGATGCCGCTGGGCACGGCGGGGCCTGCAGTTGGCACAAGGCTTAGTTAGGAGCGGGTAATAAACAGCCTCCAGCCCCAGCTGCACCCGCCTCCCACCTTTGCTGGCCCCTCACCTGGGCGGGAGCCCGCTGTCCACGGAGGCACCACAGCGGCCTCTCCCGGACACCTGCAGAACTGCACACACCCCGTCCAACTTTCAGGGCTTCCCTCCCTGCCACGGACACTTACCGAGACCTACCGCACGCTGGCCGGGGCGCCAGGCACTGTGGGCAAAACCAAGTCCCTCTCTGCGAGGGAAGTATACATGTATGCAGGATGCTTGGGGAACTGTGGGAAAACGGGCAGGTGGGGCGCCACTTCCCAGTGGGGGGTGCTGACACCCAAGAGGCAGGACCCAGGCTGTGCAGGGAGAGGTGCTGCGGGTTTAGGAATAGGGTGGCCAGTTTGGCTGGAACAGGGAGAGGTAGCACGAGACTGAGGGGTGGCAGGCCTCGAACTGGGCCCCGCCAGTGACACCAGAGTCACCGGGCATGGCCCTTTGTCCCCAGCAGCCTGGGCCGAACAAGCTGAGCCCGACCTGCCACAATCCCAGATCCCCAAACCCCAGGCCGCAAAGGTTTCTGCCGACAGGAGGGACTTTGGGCAGAGGGTGATGTGTCCAGAGCTTGACAAACACCTGCACCCTGGTGCAGCACTCCCCCCCCCTCCCCGCCCCAGATGCCAGTGGAATTTCCCTGAGATTTGGGGTCTTGGAATCTCCCAAAGTCCCAGTCACTCTAAGTGAGGCCGAGTGAGAGGCTGGCACTGCCTGCTGAGGGTGGACAGGGCAGAGGGGGCCGCTCTGAGGTGGTGGAAATGTCCGGGCTTCCTGCAGACAGCGCTCCTCCGGGAGCACCACGCCGTGCAGCTTTCTTTCACGCCTAGAGGGCGCTCCTGCCCATTGCCCATTCCTCTGAAACAAGCGGCTGAGGCATCCTAAACATCTTGCCACCCCAACTTTACCAACACCATACAACCCTCTGGCTGCAGCCACAGCCCTGGAGCTCAGTTCCTGCCTGGACGCTCACAGGGCAGGGGGCTGGTGAACAGCCTCCGTCCACCGGGCCGCGCGGGCCAGATGTCCAGAGTGCTTGGCTCCCCACCACGGACCTGCGCCATGAAGACTCACGGCCCGTCCCCGGCATTGGCTCCACCTGTGCTGTTGGAAAAGCCACCAGCAGCCTGGGAGGGGGTCCTGGAACGCCTGACATCTGTGGCGCAGAGCCAGGCGTGGCGAGCACAGGGGAAGGTGCTGGTGTGAGTTTTAAGATGTCTAAGAACTTTCCATCTAGCTGAAGTTCCTCAAGCGTGCAGAGACATGCGCCCACTTTCTTAATAACAATGCCTTCTGGGGTGGGGTCCAGCCCGCGCCCACTTCTGCCGGCTGCACTCGTAGTGCGTGGGGCTTCAGGAGCGCCCCTGGCTGCTGAGGCAGACTCTGCTGCATGTGCCTCTCCACCCGGCACCTCCTAGGCCCTGGGTACCTCTGCAGCTGTGCAAAGGTGGTGCTGCCCTGGGCAGCAGGTGTGCCAACCCTCTGCCCTTGTGCCTGCTGCTCTGCCCCGTGCTATGTGCATGAGACCCCGGGGCCTCCTGGCTGCAGGGTGCGCTGAGCTGGGGCTCCGGGAGCAGTGGGCGCTCCACACCCACAGGTGGGAGTTGGGGCACGTAACCAGCTCCTTGGCCTGCGGTGGGAGCTGCGTACCAGGGGGATGAGGGGGAGACAGAACTCTGAGGTCCCCAGCAGAATGGAAGCGAGCACCCCACAGGGTGACCCGGCCGGCTCACTCCCCGCCCCACCCCTCGCACACAGGTCCTCCTAGGACTGTGCCACCCGGAGGACGGAAGCCACAGGGAAGGCGGAGGGGCCTAAGGGATCCCGAGTCCTTGAGGAGCCGTGCGCCTGCCAGCCAACCTGCCCTCCCCAGACTTCCTGTTTTTGAGCACAGGCCCCTTGCTTAGTTGAGCCCCCGCCCTCGGGCTCTGTGGCTTGCAGCCAAAAGCAGTCGCTGGGACAAAGTCTGCAGCGGCGGGTGGTCAGTTGGGCAGGTTGCTCAGCACTGGGCTCATGGGCACCAGCCCTGCTGCCCAGCACGTGCCGGCTGCTGCTGACGCGCTGTAACCCTCGCGCCGGCCTCATCAGGCGGCTGTGCATATCCCACGTGCTGAACTCCCAGCATCCGGGGTGTGGGGCGGCAGAGCCCAGCAACCTGCCAGAGCCTGCGGCAGGCAGGTGAGGTCAGAGCGCCTGTCAGCTGAGACCCTGCGCTTTCCTCTCACCCCCAACACCCCTGCCCCCCATGGGGACTTCTGCCAGACACGCTCCTCCCACCCGCCAAGTCTCAGCCCGAGCGTGACATACGTTCTTCCAAAGCCTGCGCTCAACACTCTCACTCCAGGCCCTGCTCGTGCTCTGGCCTCTGCCTGGAGCCGAGTCAGGAGGGCGCGACGGTCCGAAGGGGGGGAGCGCAGCCGCCCAGCAGGCTCCACGACACCAAGCACACACCGACGCTCAGGAAGTGTTTATAAACTCAAGATGGCCAGCCGGGGTGGGACACAGTGCCTTTACTCCCACTGAAATCAGGACATCAAATCCGGTCACCGTGAAGATGAACATACACCCACACAGGCATCCCCGCGATGACATACATCAATGAACTCAATTGACATTCAAGTACGATTTCTTCTGAAGAGCACCATCACACTGGAAGCGCCCGCTGAGGAGCTAGGAGCCGAGCGGGCTGGGCGCTGTCTGCATCCCGGCCTCGGAGGGGACAGACTGGCTCCCTCGCTGGTGACCCAGGAAAGATGACGCTGTGTCCAGCTGCTGGTGTGTGGAGGAGGCTAGCACCAGGCTGGCCGGCTCTGGAAAGCAGGGGCTGTGCTGGGTGCTGCGGGGACAAAGCCTAAAGCCTGACCAGGGGTAGGGGGTGGGCAAGAGGCGCACACGGGTGTGGAGAGCACCCTGGGGCCCCCTGAGGCCCAAGGGACAGACCTTTACTGAACAGAGCAAGGGGGAGAAGCCAGGAGCCCCTCCCGAGGCCCCCGGTCAGCAACTCCCAGAGGTTTGTATCAAGCTTGCTGGTGACAAACCACCCTCGTGACCCGACTCAAGAGTTACGTCACCTCAACCGAGGCAGCTTTGGGGACAGGCCAACCCTCCCGAAAATTCAGCTCAAAAGACACCTGCCTGTCTGGAGACAGCTGGTCAGAAAGCTACCAAAGTGCTGAAGTGCTTATTTTTGGTAAATTTATTTCCACAAGGCCGCCACTCGAGCTCACGTTGCCGCCCGCGTGAGGGCACACGCGACGGCAGGGCGGCGCTGGCACATGTGGCTGAGTAAGGCGTCTCCGCTGATGATAAGCCCGGTGGCAGGGGGCACCTGCCAGGCACCGCCCGGGACTTGAGACTGCAGCTAAGTCCGAAAGGTCGAAGGTTTTTACAGGAAGACACGAGACTACCAGCTGCACGTCACAGAAAACGCCAGCGGGCGTGGCCTTCTTCCTCCTGAGAACTCACTTGACAGAGTAAAACCACGACACCGACTCTGATGAAATCCTGATTAAGTCCTTGTCCACGAGCAGGGATCTTCCAAGGAAGCCAGGTACTCTGACCACCGCATCGGCTCGCCCGCGGTTTCTGACCGAAGCCAGGCCGGCCGGCCCGTGACCGCGCGACGGGATTGCACAAATGCGGGGATTTCAGCAGTTCCTGTCTTTCCCCAAAGCACTGTCCCCTGACTCGGATCACTGATTTGGTCCACCTCAGGGTCCCAAACACGACTGTCCCGAGGGAACACGTGCGGTCAACCCACGGCCTTTCATGCGGGAGCCACATCTCAGCCCCAGGCGGAAGGTGCTCCCCGGAGACAGGCGTGCCCAGAGAACAGCCTGCAGACGGGGGGTTGAGCAATTTCTATTTTCCAAAAGAAGAAGGGGGGGTGTCCTACAATTGCGAGGGTGCACGAGAGCTGGGGGTCTGGGACAGTTTCCTTGAAGACACGAGGGCGCACAAGCCTAGGCAAGCCTGGGCCAGAAGACTGGCCGCTCTGTCCGGCTCTGGGCGTTTCCATGGCGACAGGATGGCAGACAGAAGAGACTGCGTTTCCACCTTTATCCTGAATGCCACCTCCGAGGGCTGCGGGCTGACCCAGAGCAGAGGGGTCTCGGCTGAGTGGGACGTGGGAGGCAAGAGCTCTCTGGTCACACAGGGAGCTGCCCGGCGTCCTGCATCTGAGACCTTAACATAAAGCTCTGGACATTTCCCTCAGGAACCTCTGCTCTGAGTCACCCTTGCAGCCAAAACGAAGGCACACAGTACAAAGCTCCACTGCCGCTGTCTTCCAAGCGTGCAAGCTGAGCCTTCTGCCGCCAAGAACACCGAGGCTGTCACCAGGCCACGTGGCAGCTCCTTCCAGGCCACGGCAGACCTGGTGTCTGCCTTGCGCCAGCCTCAGGCCTCATCCCCACGTGCGTGCGCCTACCACCCGCCACCACCCGGTCCCGCTTCTGGTTCGTGCTCCCGAGAATGGCCACAGTGGCAGCCCTGGCTCAGGGTTCCATCCCTGAAGGAACAAGAATCATCACCTCAAGCACAAAGACAAGCCAGCGACGAGACAGAGGGCACGCAGCCTTTAGCACCATAGTGGAGCCCATGGAGGGCAGAGTGTGCCCGAGGCCTACGGAGGAATGTGGCCCAGGTTCCCCAGGATGGGGCGCCCAATGCCACCATCCTGCAGAGGCCCGCGCTTGGGAAAGGGAGAGCAGGGTAGCCCTATGTCCACGGCTTACAAGCACTCGTGGCTGAAGCAGGCGCTCAAGCCTGGAGTCGGCTGGGAAGATGCTGCTGGCTCAGGGGCCAGCGGACACAAGCCATCGCCCTGAGGGCCAGCGCACCCTGGGGACGTGGTGAAGACCACGCAGCTGCCTCCTGGTGCATGGACAGCGCAGACTTGCAGACTCGGGCCCGAGGTGGACCCGCCCAGCACCCACATGTGTGCTCAGGGGAGGACGCGCGGACACCCTGCCCTTGGCACTGGTGGGAGTGAAGGTCACAGAACACAGCCTCGGCCTGTCCTTGCAAGAGAAAGGGCCCAGGGCCTAGGAGGGTTTACCCAGAGGCGGGCTGAAGAGCTGAGGGCCAGAGATGACCCCATGCCGGTCACATTCTCCCCGCCGTCCTGGGGGGCGGGTACAGACGTCCAGGCCAGGGAAAGCGAAACCGCCCAGGCCAGGAGCCCACGACCAGGGCAGTGCCTCCCACCATGCCCATCGCCTGGGTTCCTCTCAGCCTCAGTGAGTGTTGCTCAACAAGTGCCAGGAAGACCGAGAAACCAGCAGGAAAACACTGTTTTCACAAAGGTCTTTGGCAATAATTCACATTCTGCTACGCTTCTGGGGACCGAGGACCCTGTCCTCGGTGGAAGGTTCCCGTGGCGACAGCGGGTGGTGCTCACAGCGGGCAGTGCTCCCAGGCCCGGTCTTTGCAGGAGCTCGAGTCGGCAGGGCCCGGGTTGTCGGGCGGGCCGCACGGGCCGCTGTCCTGGGAGTCTGTCCCGAGGCTCTTGGTCTCGGACTGGAGGTGGACGGACGCCTGCACGGCGATCTCCTGGCCCTGCTCCTGCAGAGAGCCGTCATCCGAGTCCCCGCCCGGGAAGCTGCTCCGCCCCACCTCGGGGCTGATGACGTAGATGCCACTCTGGGCGTTCAGGGCTGGCCTCTCCTTCACCCGCTCACCCCTGCCGTCGGGGTCGTCCACGCGCACCGCCTCAAACATCTCCTCCACGAAGGCCCGGCAGTTCAGGATCAGGGGTGGGAGAGGGATGCTCCTGGCCAGCTCCTCGATATAGCGTGCGAACTCCATGGTCTTGAACTGCGTGACCTTGGCGAGCTCCAGGGTCTTGGCCGAGGTGATGATGGGGATGCGCTTGGCGATCTCGAAGGCCTTCTGCAGCTTCTCCGCGCCCTCGGTCCGGAAGAACTCGTTGATGGCTTTCTCGGTCTTGCGCAGGTGGCTGCTCATCAGGCACAGCCGGGTCACGTTCAGGATGAGCGTGATAGTGAAGGCGACCAGGCACACGACCATGTAGTAGACGCTCAAGTCCCCCGAGGTGAAGATGACGCGCAGGGTGACGGAGTAGGTGGCGCGGGCTGGAGAGCTGGTGACGCAGGTGTAGAGCCCGCGGTCATCGAAGGCTACACGGGTGATATTCAGGAAGTTACCAGAAATCAACCACTTTCCACCTGGTGAGCCAACAGAAACAGGTTCAGCGTGAAGACTTGGCAGCTGTGCCTGCTGCCCGCAGTGCTCTGCTTGCCAGGGCGCACTGGACCCTCACCTTCCCAGCCCCACTGCATGGCCAGGTCGCCAGGAGCTTTCTGTCCAGAGCTGAGCGACACAGGCTGGGCATGAAGGGCCTTCCGTCCCCACAGCCGCCTCTCACTGCTCCTTGACCCCAAATACGCCTCCTCTCCCAGGGCACAGACACACGGGCACCAAGCTATGAAAGGCCAGGGCAGAGAGCCCCACTTGCTGCCCACCCTCAGGAACCTTTGGTCCTCACCAGGGTGCTAGGGCCATTCTGGAGGGATGGATGGGCTAACGGGGGTGTGGGCGTGAGCCCTGGTGGCCAGAGGTGGTGGCCGGGGAGGCTGGGCAGTTGCTTGGTTATCGCCACCCAACTGCTTGCCCCTCACGTTCCTTTGACCTCTGAGACCCTGGAGCTCCGGGTCATCTAGGGGCACATGAGTTAGCAGGCACTCTGCAGGGGTGCCGCTCAGGCAGCGTCTGACTTCTAAGGCTACACTCGGAGATACGGCCCAATGCAAGAGGGGGATGCACAGCCCTGAAACAGTGACGATCCTGCCGGCTCTGGACCTGGAGATGTGGGCACAGGGCTCGGTGGACTGTGGACTCCGTCCATCCTGATGGTGCCACGACCACAGTCCAACGCTCTTGTTGATAACAGTGCAAGATTTATGAGCCTTCCCTAGACTGACGTGCTCTTTAAACTCCTCTCACTTGCGGTTCATAAAATTTAACACAATTTTATAGAGCTGCGTCTGAAAGCGTCCATGATGCAAGTCACGGCTCTGAGTTAAAGCGGAACGAGAACATGGATCTGCCGCTCCTCCAGCTAGTCTCGCGCTCATCCAGCTCCACTCACACTATCTGCGGCGGTGTCAAGCCGAACCTCACGCGTCTGCTCAGGGCCTCAGAGCCCCGAGCGGAAGCCTGCATCCTGCTCACGGGAGTCTGACCCCACAGCAGCCTCCCCAGAAGCTGCCTACAAACCCTCCCGCCAGCACTCACGCTCCTCGGCCCCGGGGGCCAGCTGCTCACTTTGTAGGAGACACGTCTGTCCCCTTCCCTGGTGTCTGCTCCTCCACAACTGACGGAGCATCCCTGTATTCCAAGAGACGATTTTCTATCAAAGAAGGTAAGGGGGTCTTCTCGGGGTGCGCAGCTGTGTGTGAGGACCCCAGGAGTCAATCTTTACCTGCTGATTTCACATGGCGGTTTTCTTGAGGTGCACTGATACCCTTCAGGTGTTACCTTCTAGTTCAGTCTGTGACACCCTTCAGGTGTTAACACCGGAAGGCCCTTCATGCCCAATGGCTTTCAAGGAGCGCTGTGAGACGCCCACCAAGGAAACAGCACGCCAACGTGCCCACAGGCACACAAATAGCAAAATCAAACAAAACTTGTCAACAGACAGACTTTGGGCACATTATTATTATCCTGTGTAATTTCTACTACTCAGAAACAAGAAATACAGCAGAAACTTCCCGTTGTCAAGCAAACTAAGGTAAAGAACAAAGAAAATATGTGCTGGGAGAGCTGGAGGCGCTCTTGGTGCCCTTCTAGTCCTCAGAGATACTTGAGCTTTCTTTTTTTGTTTGAAAAGATTTCTCTTTATTTACTTATGCATATAAGAATGGGGTACAGGCCAGGGGTGCTTGGGGTGAGAGGATTCACCAAAGACAGAGTGGGGAGCAGAACAGGCAGATTTACTGAAATACACTGCCGAGGGGAACAGTGGGGAGACAGGAGAGGTCTGCCACGCCAGGTGGGTGGCTCCCTGGCCAGGTATTGAACTTGTGCTCCAGACAGCTTGATAGCGCGGAGACTTAACCCCTCGTGTCACCAGGGAGGCCCGAGATAACAAACGTTCATGCATAGCTCTATAACCATTTTTTCAAAATCCTGAATCTCCTCTAACATTTTGAGTAATTCATTTCTGAGAAAAACTTTTAAATTTATGACAAGTTGACTTTAAGTCTAGCCCAAATCCAACTTGTGCATTCAGCCACGACCCCCTACTCGACTACTCGCTCCACAGTGTGGGCCTGGGCTGCCATGAGAGGGAAAGCAGCCCCCAGAGGAGGAAACGGCTCTGGGCCATCACGTGGACACCTTTCACGCTGATAACTTCTGATTTTTGTTCTCCTGGCAAGTAATTAATAGTATCTTGCTCTTTCAGGTAGGCATAACACACTGGGTCTTTCTAACACTGTAACTGTTCACCCTGGCAACTCATCTTCCAGATTCCTCGCTTATATGCTGTGAAACCAAAAGGGGAGAGTAGTGGAAAGGAGAGGCCTCGACTAACGAGACCCCGTGCATTACCTCTGCCGTCCAGTGGCTGTCCTTTTGAGTTGTACCAGTGGACATCTTCCTCGTGGTCAGTCGTGAGAAGACACTCGATGCCAACGCTCGCTCCTTCCCTGGCTATGACGACATCACTTGAGTGGGGCCCCGCCGAGAGCTCGAAGCTTGGGGGGTCCGATGCATTGAAAGGACTGTGACCGGCTCCCGGAATGTCCTCTTGGTGGAAGGCTACATCTTCCAGAACATGAGCAGCTGGCACCACAACACTCAGCACTAGGGGGAACAGGCCCCATTGCGGCTTCATGGAAACACGGGGTGCGGTCTGTTCTGAAGTGGAGAATGCCAAAGCCCCCTGGTGATGGGGCACAGTGAGTAACCAACTGCTTGTCAGCAGTTTTCAAAACATGTGGTGGATCCAGGTGTATTTTGAAGTCTCTGGATTAAAAGTTGAGCATGGAGGTCATCCTAAGAGTCAGAAATAAAGTGTGACCCACAAAGATTCATAATGGGGTGAGTGCCACGTTCCAGAAACAAATGTGAAAATGATTAGGAGGTGCTGACGGGAGGGAATGAAAGAAAAAGCCCCACCTATATAACCTGCACGGGACAGCGGGGCAGCCCTGAGCTGGCAGGTGCACTAGCCCTGCCCACTCTGCGGCCCCAGGGCCCTGGCCAGAGGCACCCCTCCAGGCTGGTTCCCTTGCCGGTCACATGAGGGGCTGGGCGAGATGAGGACGCTCAGGGCTCTCAAAGTTCCGAAATGGAGTGAATCTGTATCCTCTGACAAATTCTATGAGGCGGGGCCAACGAAGGCTAACACATTTAGTGTAACAATCTCACTGCAACCCACACCATGACTGTCTGCGGTGACATCAGTACCGAAGACCAGCTGGCGATCAGCATGGCCACGGAGCCCAAACGTGAGCGTTTCAAGCCCTCAGATACACCCGAGAGACAAGATGCAGGGATAGAGTGGCCTTTTCTACCATTAGAAAGAAAACGGCCTCGCTAGGCAGTCACTGACGCTGGGGCAGACCCCCTCCTGCACAGGAGCGCCGCGTCAGACAGTCCCTTTGCTAGTTTCTTCAACATCAAGAGATGTTGTTGGTAAGAACACCCAACTTCTAGTTCAGTCTGTAAAATAAGCTGAGTGGAACAGACACCTTCAACACGTAGTTGGTAGCAAAGCAAACCAACCACAAGTGTAACGAAGAGCAAAACAAATGAATAAAAAGGCAGGATAAGGCCCAGTCAGCAGCCCGGGCACTTACACGACCATCTGGTGATTCGACTCCACACAGAAACCAAGAATCTTGAAAGCCGTCCTCCCCAAGACGGCGAACGCTGCTACACCGCACGTAAAAAACTCCCTGACGTTGATGTTCTCGATTAAGTTTTAAAAGTGTCCGGGGATCCTAAACCACAAAGTCTGAGAAGCGCGGCCAGAGCGATCACCCCGCGTCGAGGGAGGACGAGGACCCCTCCGGGGCCACCCGCGGCCGGACTGCGGCCCGGTGACAGGCGCCCACGCTGGGCCGCCAGGTCCGCGCACCTCGCGCCCCCGCCGGCGGAGGACCGGCCCGCTCCGGGGCGAGGAACGGCCCTCCCTCGAGGGCGGGGGCCTGAGCGCTCGGGGCAGCCCGGGGCACCCCGACGCCGCCCACGGGGACCCCCACCCACGGCGGAGCAAGCGGCCGAGGGTTCGAGGCGCCGAGGAGGCGGCGCGGAGTCGCTGGCGGGCGCCCCGCCATCCGCCGCCCCATCGGGGTCCCGCCCCCCGCCTCCGGAAGCGGGGCCCGGCGTCCCGGGCCGGAGAGGGGGCGCCCCCTCCGCACGGAGGCCGCCCCCCTTCTCCGTTCACCTCCCCCCGAGAGCGGCCGCGGCTCCGGTCACAGCCGCCCGGAGACGGCCCGGCGGCGCCCCCGGCCCAGGTCCCAGCGCGCGCTCGGGGCCCGCCCCGCCCCGCCCCGCGCGCCTCCCCCGGTCCCCTCGGGCGCGCCCGCGCCCCCGCGAGCGTCCCCGCGAGCGCCCCGCGAGCGCCCCGCGAGCGCCCACTCACCCGCCCGCGCCAGCCGCTTCCGGCCCCGGCGCCGCCGACCCGGAAGTGCTCGCGGAGGGCGCGCCGCGCGGGCGGACACGTCACTTCCGGGGCGGGAGCGACGCGGCGGCGACGGCGGTGAGGGGAGGTGAGGGGAGGTGAGGGGAGGTGAGGGGGGCGATGAGGGGAGGTGAGGGGCGGTGAGGGGAGGTGAGGGGCGGTGAGGGGAGGTGAGGGGCGGTGAGGGGAGGTGAGGGGAGGTGAGGGGGGCGGTGAGGGGAGGTGAGGGGGGCGGTGAGGGGAGGTGAGGGGGGCGGTGAGGGGCAACGGCGGGGGGCGGCGCGGCTCTGGGGGGCGGGGGCCGCGGGGGGCGGGGACTCGCGGGCCCCCGGGGGCGCGGCCACCCCGCCCCCCGCTGCGGGCCGGCCCCGAGACCCCGGCGTCCAGTGGGCCCGGGCGCCCGCGGGGGGCTCCGGTGGCCGCGCGGGACCCCGCTCTTTCCCCCGCGGCCCCTCCCCCAAGTAGAACCCGGGGGTGGCCCAGGGGCCCTGGAGCAGGCGGGGGGGGGGGGGCGGGGGCATGCCACCCCCACCCCCAGTCGAAACCCGCTGTGCCTTTTGACTCCCCCAAACCCGGCGGCGGCGGCCTGCGGAGGCCGGGCGGCGCGGGCCTGGCCGCGGGAGAGGGCGCCCCGCGGGAGTGGGGCCGGGGTGGGCGCCGGCGTTTACTGCTCGGAAGGACGTGCGCCCCGACGCGCTGGCACCCCGGCCGAGTCGGTGGGTGCGCCTCGTGGGGGCGCCGCGCGCTGAAAGTAGAACTCGGCCTTTCATTTACTTGTAGGGTCCCGGCCCGTCTCCCGGTTAGCAAAATAACCCGCCGCGCAGCGCTCGGGAAACTCAGACGCGCAGCCTCTGTGTTGAGTCCGTCTCCGGCCTTTCCTGCCAGATTGAAATCGCTGGGAGCCGTTGCCCACGGAGAGGAACAAGGGTGGTGAGAAAGGTAATGTGCGCACTCCCCGCTCCCCCAAATCCTCTTCCCGCCCCGCTAAATGTCTGGCACGTTCTCGTTGCTGACAGCGTGCGGACACACCAGAGCTGAGTGCTGGGGAGCCCGTCCCCCCAGGCTTTTATAAAGTCTGTGGAGTGAGGATGTGGCGCGTAGGTCACCTGTTACAGTGCGCGCAAAACTGTGTTTTGTGCGCGTGTAACACTTTCGCTTGGAGAGCACGTAGGAGAGTGAAAACATGGTGGGAGAAGCGTGTATGTGTTCAACACTCGGGACATTGGACTTTGTGCGAGAACTCTGCTCTTTGCTGTAGGCCCGGGACTGGGGGGGTCAGAGCCTGTCTTCAGTCAGCTCTGAGTCTAGAGTGTGGTGCATGGAGGTGCTCAAGCGCTCACAAGCGGAAAACGGACTACTTCAGAGCTGGTCTGTGTGTCTACACGTTGTGGTTTCTGGCTTGGTTTTGCCCGGTGTCAGGCATGTGCCATCTCTGTAGGGTTTGGTGTCTGAGTTGTGTAAATCTGCCTTTCTGGTCTTAGGTCTTCCCACCCTGCTCCCTGGCACCCACCACCCCGGGGTCTGCCCACACTCCACACTTCAGGCCTTTGCGCTCTCCTGTGTGCTGCTTCCACACCCTGAGTTCTCTCATTGGCATCTGCTGCACTGGCATCATTGGCCACTGCTAAGCGCCCTTTAGTCACACGTTGCATGCACAGATGCTTTGAAGAGATAATCAGGAAGCAAAAGTGAGTCATGTGGTTTGGTGGAGCCTGGGAGACTCGGGAGCCTCAGCACCCTGGCTGGAAGGGCCCCCAGTTACTTGCCATGAACTAGTTATGTCCACGTTGAATGTGGGCCTAGGTGGCCAGGGTTTTCATTTTTGCAAGGCACGTTTGAGATCTGGACTTGGCCGTGAATTCCAGGGTTTCCATGGTAGCAATTACTATGAACACTGGACACCATGGGCCGATGTCACCTGCTTATGGTCGTGGGCAGTGCTGCTTCTGGTGCTTTCGCCATGGATCTTGCTCCCGATTCTGGCCGCCTTCTCTTGGTTCTCTTAGACATGAGTGATGACCTTGGGGTGCTGCCTCGGTCGTTGACGGGCTGAGTCTAGGATTGCGCATAGTACATGCCAGGTATGTGTGTGCGAGACACGGTTCTTTCTCCCTCGTCGTATTGGGTCATCATGGTGGCGCCAGCTAGGCGTGGGCAGGTTCTCTGTAGATCCGGGCAGATGCTGAAGGAGAGTCTTGGAGCCCTCAGTGGTTTTTGCAGGCTTCTAATGATCTTTCTATACTATTTGTAGTGAGGCAGCCAGGTCAGAGCGGGCAGGGAGGCTAGCAGGCCGTCCAGCCCCCCGCAAATCTTTCTCTGGCATTCTCTCATGGTCTCTTCTCATAGCCTTTCTGCTGCTCTGTGACGCCGCCCTTGTAGTAGTGTCAGCCTCTAGGCTCAGGTGTGCCCACACACACACACACACCACACTCCAGGTATCCACCATCAGGCAGGCGTACCTCGAGCCCACACTCCCCAGTGCCTCCTGCATTCAAGGCCGCAGGTGATAGCCACAGAGGCCCACAGTACAAAAGCCGGAGCAGTCCACGTTTGCCCTACACCTGGAAACCAGCATCTGATGATCTTTGTAAAAACTGAAACAACTGTGCTGGCGTGGGCGTGTCCACTGTTTCTTATGAAACTCAAAAGTGCCCCAGTGTAGCGGCAGGAAGAGCCAGGACAGGTTTTCTATGACCCGAGCAGACAGGGTAAGAAGAGAGTCCTGGAGCCCTCAGTGGTTTTTGCAGGCTTTTACTGGGATTTACCAGGTACACGGCAGGCAGGGGTGCTGGGGGGCCAGGAGGCTGGCAGGCCTCTGCCGTTCTCTGCTCACTGGTGGTTCGTTCTCTCTCTGCTTTGGGTGTGTCTCCATGACACCGCCTTTATAAGCCCAGTCTTAGCCCAGGTGAATCCCATCTACATAGGCCCACACCCTACTCCAGGTGCCCAGAAAAGCCTGACACTTTTTACCTTACCCTACACTCAGTGATTACACTTTGGTCTTTAATTCCAGAGACATAAAAGCTCGTATTCCTATGAAAACCTGTTCCGGAATGTTCGTAGCCATTCTGTTTGTAGTTGCCCCGAACTGGAAGCCGTCCTGATATTTTTCAACAGATAAATGGTTAAAAAACTGGGAATCACCCCTCCCAAGCAACACCACTGAGAATTAAGGAAGAAACTGTCCACATACCCAACGTGGATGGTTCCCGAGGGACTCCCGCAGTGTGGACACAGTTGATCTCAGAAGGTTCCATGCTGCAGGTTTGTACTTTTAGGTCAGAATGACAAGAGTCTAGAGAGGAAAAACAGGTCAGCGTTGGCTGTGGGTGGAAGGAGGGTGACTTCTTTTTAAAAATATAACATGAAAGATCCCTGTGATTGACCTGTTCTGTGTGCTGACTGCTGGGGTCACGTGAGTCTGCGTAAATAAATGTTCACAGAGGTAAGCTCACAGGCCCAGGGGTGAGCCTGGTGAGAGCGAACACGGTCAGTGACTGTACACTGTGCGGGCTGTGATCTTAAAATTCTGTGACCCATGCCATAGGGACCCTGGGGTAGCAGCATATCATGTGTCTTTTATTTCCTAATCTGCTTGTAAATCTGTGATGATCTCAAACAGTTTGAACAAATATATAAAAATATGTTTTTTGTTCCCTTGGGTCTGGATTTTACCAGGCAATGGTCTAATCATGTCGGATAAAGATGATGCTGAAACTGCAGTGATAACTGAAGCGCCCCTCTGCGCTGGAGGTGGGGACCATGAGGGCGCCGAGAATGCTGGGCCTGCTGCCCAGAGTGCCACGCCAGAGGACAGGCCAGAACCTGTAGCTTCCACTCGGAAAAGACCCGAGTCTAAGCCCTCCAGCGACCTTGAGACTGCACAAGCTCTCTCTGCTCAGGTATCCCAGGCTGGGGCCTAGTGGGGTGTCTGTTACCACAGTTACACTTAAAATGTTGGGGCTAAAAAGAATTTGGAATCAGTACCAGCTTAGGATTGTGACTATTTCTGAACTTTTGTAATGATAAAATACAATTTTCTCACTTCTGGTGATGGCTTTGCTGTGTTTCCTTTTTTTTTTTTTTTTTTAAAGATTTTATTTATTTTTATATAAGAACTGGGGTACAGGCCAGAGGTGCAGGAGGGTGAGAGGACCCACCAGAGGCAGAGCAGGGAGCAGAACAGGCAGACAACAGAAATATACTGCTGAGGGGAGCAGCGGGCAAGACAGGAGAGGTGCTGCGCCATATGGGATCCTCGCTGCCTGGCCGGGATCGAACCCGCACTGCAGAGGCTGCGGACAGCTTCACCGCCCAGCTCTCACCCGCTGCACCACCGGGGAGGCCCTGCTGTGTGTTTCTTAAGTGCATCTGTCAGTCAAGCGACATGTTTCTTTAGCCAAACAATATGTATTTGTTCACCCATACTGCAGGCTAATGATTGGATGCCTTATTTAATTTTTCCATTTTCCTTTTGTTTTTGTCTACTGGGAAAAATAGGAAACTGTTTCCAAAGATGTTCCCCAGACTGGATGGGGCTATTGGGGCAGCTGGGGCAAGTCCTTGCTCTCCTCGGCCTCGGCCACAGTAGCCACAGTTGGTAAGGTCACCAGTCCTTTGTGTGTGTGTGTGTGTGTGTCTGCTTTCTAGAAATCTGGGTTAAAAATGTCTTTGTTAAGTCCATGTTTACTCAAAGCGTTACAGTTTGAGGGTGCGTTAGTGATTCTGATTTATACTGCCCCTGGGGTTTGCAGCATCTCATTAGAAGGTTGACATTGAGGAAGTTAATATAAAACAATTTTTGTTGATAATCAAAACTTTTTCGGTAAGACGCATTCCCAAAAATTAGTCATGTATGGTCAAAGTAACATCTCTTGTGACTGGAGCAGTTATAAAAACCTACAGCTTTGAGTTTTGGTTTGTTTCTTCAAGTATGAAGACTAATAGCAAGTAGTATTCAGATATGAAAATGTTACCGTTTTTCTCATTAGGACAAGGTATTTCAAACGTCATTGAAAAGGCAGAGACTTCCCTGGGAATTCCTAGTCCTAGTGAGGTTTCCGCGGAGGCCCATCATGCTACAGGTCAGTGCTCAGGACATTGAAACCTGGAATTATGGGTCAGAACACAACAGTTGTGTCCATTTTTTGTAGATAAAGAATTGAGTGTGTGATGTTAGGCCATCGTGGGACTGGCGAGAAGGGGGGTTCGGAGCCTTCAGCTGCCGGGTCTCTGTCCTTAACCACGCGCGTGCCGTCACTTCACGCCACTCTGTAAACGGACAGCGTGTTGTTTCTTGGAGGACTGCCGTGGATACACCGGTTGCTAACAAGACTTTTGAACTGAAATGAAACGTGACGCAGCTGTCTGTCGTTGCTTTCAATTTAACACAGGCAAATGGTTTACAGGCACGAAGCAGAAAGGTCTGGGTTCTTGTGTGTGGGAAACGGGGACAGATGCTTAAAATTTTGAGCAGTCAGCACTGTCCGCACCATCTCTTCATGTCCGTGCCCGTCCTCCCCCGCAGGCGAGCCCGGCGCCGCGGAGGACAGCTCGGCCGCGGCGGGGCCCTTCGGCGTGCTCGCCACCATCTCCACCGCCGTCCAGAGCACGGTGAGTGCGCGCGGCCGCTGGTCCCCGAAAGGCCCGGGCCAGTCCCTCTTGCCGGAGCCCATCCCTCACCTTCCCCCGAGGGGCAGTGGGAACTACGCGGACGCGTTCCTTGGAGACACGAGGTGGGGCGTCAGGGAAGACGCGGGCTCAGGCAGGGCTCCAGGCGTTTTGTGGACTGGGGGTCTCGTTTGCCGGCCCTGGAAGACGGCCCGGCTCTACAGAAGCACCGGCGCCGTCTTAGGCAAAGGGGAGAGGAGATCCCTAGGATGGACACCTGGAAAGGGAGGAGATGATTAGAAACATTCCAGAAAGAGTCACATCAGAGCTTATCCTTCCTCCACGTGGAAGGGGGGTGGACACTTGGTAGACCTTTGTGTTGCGTCACCTAGAATAACACAGACGCAGAGTGTAACACACATGGAGACGTGAAAGAGTGAGCGTGCATGGGAGTCTTTACAACATGAACACGCTCCGACTAAGGAAGGACGTTCCCAGATGCCTCCCCGGGTGTGCCCTCCCCTGTCACCTCTCACCCGCAGTTCTGACTAGCCTGCATTGCGGTTCACTTCGTGCTTTCAGACTCTACCTCAGTGGGCTCGTACGGTGAGCGCCCCCGTGCCGGGCGGCCTCAGCTCTGTGTCTGACCGACCTGTGGTGGTTTCTGTGGTGCATGCCGTTCTCTTCGCTGTTTCCTGTGGCCACGGCGCGTTTCATGTCCTTGCGGCATTTTATGCCGCGGTCGGTGAGAACTGGAGCAGATTCCAGTTTCCAGCTGTTACGGAGACTCTGCCACGAGCGTTCTCGTGTGTGGCCTGACCTCTATGTCCTGCGGGTCCGTGGCCCGCCTGGGGTTGCCAGTCACGGGATCGGCGAGTGCCCGGCGGCAGTAGGATGCCATGCTTCTCGGCCTGCATCCGCCCGCGCTCCACAGCCGCATCTGGCCAAGGCCTCCGCCCCTTGCGCCCGGCGCGGGCTCTGCTGAGGCCTGGAGGGCGCCCACGGGCCACGTCCCGCCCTGACAGCCGCGTGTGTCTCCTAGGGCAGGAGCGTCATCAGCGGGGGTCTGGACGCCCTGGAATTCATCGGGAAGAAGACGATGGACGTCATAGCAGAAGGGGACCCCGGCTTTAAAAGAACCAAGGGCCTGATGTACCGGAACGCGACGCTCTCTCAGGTGCTGCCTGTTGGCCTGCCTCTGCTGCCGTCTGGTATTCCCACCTCTGGTAACGTGGAGCCTTGTTAGTGTGTTGTTGGGATTTTTTGAAGAATTTTCAGTGGCTTTGTCGCTACAGCTCTTCTCCCACATGGGGAGGGGGGCAGAGGATGCCCTCTGTTTCCCTCCGCTTTCCTTCTCGCACGAGCCTCCTGTTCATTCAGTTCTGGACGCCACGTTCTTGGGATGTGTTTATTTGATTAATATTTAAGCCACTCTCAGAGACACCCAGATCCTGGGGTGTTACTTCCTCGTCCAGGATCAGCTCACGTGTGATCATTTCTCCTGCAGCTCCGGAGCCCATCAGATCTGAGCGGCAGCCGGGCAGAGGGGACAGTGCTCTGGGCTGCTGCCCACCTCCCATTGGGCCCCTCCACGCTCCCAGCTCAGCTTGCCATGGGGCTTCCTCCTCGCTGCCATGCAATGCCTCCATCTCTCCTCCAGGTTTTACGGGAGGCAAAGGAGAAGGAGGAGCTGTCGACCTCCAATGAGGTTACCATGGAAATGGACAAAAAAATTCATTACGGGCTGCTCTTTGATGAGTTCCAAGGCCTTTCACACCTGGAGGCCCTGGAGATGCTCTCCCGGGAGAGTGACATAAAGGTGACTCTGGGCCAGAGGCCCTGCTGGTGGGGGTGAGGGGGTCCTCCAGAAGGGCGTGCCCTCCAGGGCCTGATTTCTTCCCTTTTTGTACAGTTGGGAGATGGGATGTCTCAGGGGCTTGAGATTGGAAACACTGCACAGACGGGCGCGTTTCTGTGTAGTTGCTCGCGACAGAGCGAGTCAGGTGGTACTTCTGGGAAGGTAAACGGCAGGGCACGGCGGCACCTGAGGGCTGGTGTGATAGCACACCTGTTATTTTCCCGTCACCTTGATCTTTTTTAGTTTCTTTGGCTTAAGTTGCCAAGTTACCTGTTAGCTTTGAAATGATTAAGCCTACTTCATGTCACCCCTGCTTCTCCGCCATTGTGAGGCACTCATGTTTTCTAGTCACTCCTGGCTTGTATTAATTCTGAGAGTGCTCATTCGGCTGCCTTTCTGTCGGGGCCAGCCTCTGCATGAAGGTGGTCAGGGGTCACTTGAGCTGACTCAAGTGAGCTCACGATGTCTCAGTTTGATTGATGTCCTTTTCTTCACGTGGGAACGTTTTCCACCTTTCATGCTCCTATAGCTTGTTATTTTCCTTATGTATATCCATTTAGGTGAAATCTATTCTTAATTCTCTGAGTGGAGAAGAACTGGAGACTCTCAAACTTGAATTGGAGCAACTCAAAGAAGCGTTTTCCCTGGCGGAGTTCTGTGAGGAAGAGGAGGAAGAACGGAAAGGTAGCATGTGAGGCCCTGCCCCCCGAGCAGGGGTAGGAGTGGGGTGCACTTGTACTCAGCTCACTGCCTTTGAAGTGGGTGGTTTTCCCCACCCACAGTAGCCTGATACCACTGTTTGCAGTGAGAATTTTCACACAGTTCTCAGTGGCCTTGCACCTGGCCAGGCAGAGGTGGGTAGCTGCTGGACACGTGTGCCCCCTCTCAGCCTGCTCCGACGTGGGCTCCTCCACGTCTAGTCCTGCGTCCCACTTCTTCCTGCTCTTGAGGTTGGGCAGCTTACCTTGTCATATTCTTGCCTCAGCCTGGCTGGTTGTCCATGAGCTTTTGTCTCCCTGGATACTGACCCTGCCATGCTGTCTCCCATGACTGCTGACCCCATTTTGACTTGAGGCATGCAGGGTGCTCGTCTCCAAAATGTGGGCAGTGGTCTCTCTTTTCTTTTTCTCGCCATGAGAGCTCTGAGGGCCTCTCAGCACCTGTCAAACTCTAGTCACGATGCTTTCCAGGGTGTTTTTATGCCACATCTTAGTATCTGCCTACATTAAATTCCCTCAGGACCCACCATTGCTACACTTAGTATCTGCATATTAAGTATATGCATAGTTTTGCGCAGTCTTCAGTAAAGGAGGTGATTTCCATAAAGCCTAATTTCTGGGCAAATGAATTTTAAGCTTTAAGAGTTGTTTTGTTTTGGGCCTCCCCGGTGGCGCAGCGGTTGAGCGCTGGGTGCGAAGCTGCCCGCGGTGCTGGTTCGATCCCCGGCTGCTCCCCGGCCACCGGAGGAGGGTCCCACATGGCGCGCAGACCTCTCCTGCCGCCCGCTGCTCCCCTCAGCAGTGTATTTCGTCCTTCTGCCTGCTCTGCTCCCGGCTCTGGCTCTGGTGAATTCTCTCACCCTCCCGCGCTTCTGACTGTACCCAGTGCTTGTATAAACAAACAAACAAATAAATAAATAAAACATGCCTCTATAAAAAAAAAAACAATGTAACAAAATGCAGGTGCCTGCCATCAGGCATGCAATCCTATTGGCAGGGGGGCAGAAAAGCCTGAAAATCATAAAAAAAAAAAAAGTTGTTTTGTTTTAACATTTAGCTGGAAATACTTCTGAGATATTAAACAGTAATTTGCTAGCCTTGTTTTTGTAAGTAGAAAGTCATGAGTACAGTTTTGCCCTTTTTTTTTTTTTTGAAGATTTATTTATTTATTTATACAAGCACTGGGTACAGTCAGAAGCGCGGGAGGGTGAGAGAATTCACTAGAGCAGGGATCAGAACAGGCAGACTTGACGAAATACACTGCTGAGGGGAGCAGCGAGCGGCAGGAGAGGTCTGTGCGCCATGTGGGACCCTCGCCCGGCAGCCGGGGATCGAACTGGCGATGCAAAGGCTGCAGGCGGCTTTGCAGCCCAGCGCTCAACTGCTGCGCTACCAGGGGAGGCCCCAGTTTTGCCTTTTCTTGATGAAACTTAAGATTTGTAAAAGTGAATATTCCTTCAGGGCCCCCCAAGACACCAGCCTGTTGTCCTCATGGGAGACTAAGTCACATGGCAGGTTGAGAAGTGTGGTTTGCAGAGCTTTCGTCTATGAGTCAGAACTGCAAAATAATACCAAGATGTTATTTGATTGTCCAGAGAAGTTGTTTTTACATTTGCAAGTTTCATGTGGAAGCAGAGGTGGGTCTGGCGAGGAGACAGTGGCTCCGGCTGCACCAGCACTCGGGCGGGCCCGATACTTGGGCTGCTTGCTGTGGCTCTTGTTCTGATGAAGCGGTGGCAGCTGGCTTTGTTATGAAGTCTTGGCGCTTGGGTTTACACCCATGCGATGCCCGGTGGCTCATACTGCTGTCTTGTGGAGAAGCACGTGTGCGACCTGCTTGTGCAAGGCCCAGCAACCGCCTCTGCGTGGAGCTCTGAGGTCAGGCGCACGGACTCTTCAGAGTAGGGTGTTGGTGAACACTTTCTTGAAGATGAATCAGGGAGCCTTCACTTCCTGGAGAGCAGCTGACAGTGTTTATGACGAACACTAAAATTCAAACTAAATGGAAGTTAGAGTTGAAAGGCTTGTATCTTGCTGCATCCGGCGTGCTGATTTTTCCGATGAATTCAGTGGTGAGCGTAACAAACTTGATCACTTTGGGATATTTTATTGTCAAGTATATCAGCATTTGGAGAATCTGTAACTCAGAAAACTGCTCTCTCCCCAACAAGTGGTGCGTCATATCCCAAACCCATCGTGGGAGGGAGACAGGCCAGCGCGCCTCAGCCAGTGTGGTGGCGCGGACCACCCGGGCTGCAGCCTCCCGCTGTGCTCACCAGGCCGGGGCCTGGCCTTGAGATTTGACGCCAGATTACAGAGCATCTACCCTAATCTCAGTGGGCGTCTAAATGCTTCTTTCCTTTCCAGCTGGACCTTTGTGAATATGGATTTTCTTCACATATTTAAAGAAAATGACGTATTTGAACAAACTGAATGAAAAATCAGGTGACAGAGTGGTGGCTGTCTCCTGTAAGCAGCATTAGAAATTTATAGGGAAGTAAAACAATGATAGTGAGTTCACTGTAGTGTTCCTTTTCTGGAAAATAAAGTTATTTTTCTAAAAAAATAACTTATGTTAACAGTCAGTGGGGCTTTTAAATCAATGAATTTTTGAACATTCTCATTTTAGTTTCAACATGGTAAACGTTGTGTATATATTGCAACATTAAAAACACTTGTAAGGGTAAAGTTCCTGAGAGTGAAGGGGTCCTGAGACCAAAATGCTCATTAGCTGCTTGTTTTTTTTTTTTTTTTTTTTTTCAAGATTTGTTTATGCATACAAGAACTGGGGTACAGGCCAGAGATGTGGGGGGTGAGAGGATCCACCAGAGACAGAGCGGGGAACAGAACAGGCAGACTGACGAAATCCACTGCTGAGGGGAGCAGCGGGGAGTCAGGAGAGGTCAGTCACGCCATGTGGGTAGCTTCCTGGCCGGGGATCGAACTTGCGCTGCAGAGTCTGTGGACAGCTATAGGCTGAGTCTTAACTCCTTGCGCCACCCGGGGTGGGGGGGTGGGGCACTAGCTGCTTGTTAAAGTGCCCTGCCCCTCTCAGCTTCTAGAAGTCTGGGTGCTGCTTTAGATGGTATACCTTGGCTTCCTTCTGTGCGTATTTTTTGTTCTGGTTTAATTCTTTTTACTGTCAGTGACCTTGCTTCTGCTGTCCCCCAGCTCTCACGTGTTCTGTTCTGGCCCCCTGGAGGGCGCTGAAAAGCTGGTGTGTGAAGAGCGAAGCCTCTGAGAGGGGCTGGCCTCCCCTGCGGCCAGGGGCTCTGCCGAAGGGGCTCTTCTCTTTGTTCCCATTTCTGCTCCAAACTGCGTCCTGAGGAGCAAGCCCTGCTGACAGCAGTGTCAGAGCCTGATTGGAAAGTGGGGTCATCCGGAACTGGACCCCTGTGTCACTGGTTGTAACCAAAGACTGTCCCTCTCGGCATTTAGGATTTTACAAGTTGCCAACCAGGGACTGTAGCTCAAGACCAGATATTTATGCTCGTTGGGGTCAGTGGATAGTTCTGTTGTCTGCGTGACCAATGGACGTTTCTAGCGTCACAGTGTCTGTGCAGTGTCATGTGCAGCGTCTGTGCCGTGGAGATGCGCGTGGTAACCAGGAAGCCCGATCTCTAAATACCATTTAGAGGACTCTAAGGGGGTTTTGAGCACATGGACTTGTACCTGTGATATTTTTCTCTGCTACCCGTTTGCTGGAGATCGGTGCTCTGGAGAGGTAGCTTCCCGCACAGCCTGCCAGCGCTCTGGGTTGAGCGTGCACCCCTGGCCTTGTATTTCGCGACAGCACAAAGTCACCAGCCTCGCCGGTACAGAGGGGAGAGCAGAGCACGTGCCTGGTGCCGCGGTGTGGGTGACCCCTCCTGAGTCCCCCAGAGCCCCGGCCCGCCTCGGGCCCAGCCCTGCGCTCTTGAGAGAGTGAGTGAAGTGTGAGTAAAAGCTCCACACTTGCCCTGCGCTCTGTTGCGTTATCCTGTGAACCCCCGGGGTGCCTGCATAGTTCCCACTCATCCCTTTTGTTCCAGTCACTTCGAGCTGCCTGGCCCAGGCTTAGATGTTCAGACAGTCGCCTGAGCCGGAGCCGGCGGCCCCTGCTTGTCCCGCTGCGCGCCGGCTCTCGGGCCTCGCGTCACCGCCCGTCGCGAAACCCTTTGAATCCTCTGCCGAGAGAGCACGACAGGGCAGGGTCGCAGGGAGAGACAGAAGAACCTACGGGGGACTTTTTTCCCTAAGGGCCGGGGAGGAAGCAGCGTGCGGCAGTCGGGGCCTCGGCAGCTGGCGCAGAAGTGCCCTCGCGGGGCGGCTCTGTCTGCGGGTGCGGAGCCGGCCGGGGTGCTCACAAGGGCGCGTCTGTGGGAAAGGGCTCTGCCTGCCTTCCTGGGGCAGGGCGGTCGGGCCCTGTCCCTGGGAGACGATGGGCTGCGGGAGAGGGAGGGCGCTGTCCTGGCTGTGGGACGAGCCGCGGGTCTCCACGCCCGACTTGCCGCTGCGTGCGTGGTTCTCAAGTGTGGGTGTCGGGGTCCCCCTCGCTGCTCACCGGCTGTTCCAGCAGCTTCTGTACCATCCTTCCACATCCTGCAGGCCCTGGCATCCTCTTTTCTTCTCCCCCCCCCCTTTATTTCTTAGCGGGATCCTGGATTCTTGCCTCGGCCTCTTACTGTTTCAGCACATTTCCCGCCGGGAGCCCAGGCGAGGTCTCAGAGTCGAGCTGCGCCTTCTGTCTCAACTCGGAGACTCGACTCCTTGGGGCCCCCGCCCGGCCTCCCTTCCTGGCCTGGTTCTCCCCTTCACTCCCGCTGTGTTCAGATACGCCCCGCGGCTGGGGCCTCGCGCCTCTGGGTCTGTGCGCTGGTCTTCTCGGCCTGCAGCCTCTGTTCTCCTGGCTCGACTGGCCTCGTGTTTCATGTCAGGACTTGAGTTCCGCTTCCCTGGAAGCCCGGGCGTCGTGCCTGCTTGTCCTGCCCTCCCCAGCTCTCCCGTCTGCTTCTGGGGCCATCGAGGGCACGGGATTTGGACTGGGGTTGGGGAGGCCTGGATGGACTCCTAACCCTTGCTGCCAGGTGTTGAGGAACTCAGCCTCTCCGAGCCCTGGCTTCTTGCCTCAGGGGTGGGATGCTGATGCTTCCCTTACAAGCCCTGCAGGCGTCCCTGACGGTGGAGTCTGTAGGCACTGGGGCCTGTGGGCACGGCCTCCCGCTCCTGCTCCTGCGCTGCTGCTGTGAGCCTCTCCCCTCCCCGCCCTCTCCTTCCCTGGGCCCTCCCCTTTTTTTGATGTGGGGCTTGCTGTTTTTTAGGGGATGAAGACTTTACCAAAGAGGTAACGGAGCTGTTTGGCCAGCTGCGGGTCTCCTCCCGGCCGGAGAAACTCACCAGGGTGAGTTACCGCTTGGTGGTTTTTTGTATATTTGCTTGTGTTGTTCAAGCGGATAAAGACTCTAGTATCGTCACTTCCTGGCAAGCGAGCCCTCGGGGAGCAGGGGGTTGCCACTCCCCAGAGCCCTGGCTCAGCGAGGCCCGTGCCGAGGCCTGGTCTCTGGTCGGGCTCCCGCGCTGTCCGTGCAGCCTGCTGTCCAGCCTGGAGTGGGCCAAGGGCCAGCCTCTAGGACAGCAGCAGCATGGGCCGCGTGCCAGGGCCGGCTCCCGGCACGCTGCAGCCTAGAATGGTTTATTTTTTCTCCCCTTGTCAATTTAATTTTGGACCGTATAGAGTATTAGTGAATTTCCAAAAGTCAAGCTCTACAAAGAATACCCCCGGGGCGGTGTCGCGGCCTCCCGGTTCCCACGGCCCGCCCTTCTCTCCTGTGGAGTGAAGGTGCTCTTGCTTTAGGACTGTCCTTCCTGTGTTTATTGTTTAGATAAGCAGCTGTGTTTAAGACACGGAGATGTCATCTCCTTTCTTTGCGGATGCTGACATGGCACGAGCGGGGTGCTCTGCCCGGTGCACTCACTCGCGCGCGTTTATTTTCCTAAATTTATTGTAGGTTATTTTTGTTGTTTTTTCCTAAGTTTGCGTATCTCACCTCCCATCCTAAATCTTAAGTTTCTTCAAGTCTGGATCTGTTTGTTGGTCCTTAAAATCCCAGCTCTGCTACCTCTGACGTGCTGTGTGGTTTTGAACAAGCACAACCGCCCTCTCTCATCAGCTTCTCTGGCATGAAGTCCCGGACAGTGTGCGCGCTCCAGTGAGGAGTCAGCGTGTGCACAGGCAGAGCTCTGGCGCGTTCCCTGCTCGAGGAGAGCTCGCTGTCTGAGGGCTCCAGCAGGAGCTCTTGCTCCTGCATACCCTAAGCCTTTGCCGTGCAAGGTGCTTGGGAAACAGGGCCTCTCCCCCCGCCACTCCATCCGCCACCCCGCTCATCTCAACCCTCGTTCTGTCCCAGATACACGCCTGACTTCCCTGTCTGAGTATTTGCACACTTAAATCCTTCTTGAAAAAATAAGTTTAGCGATTTCCTGGGCTTTGTGAAATGATGCGTGAGCAGCAGCGCCCCACTTGCTTGAGGAAAGGTGCTGCCAACTCCTTCAAAGTGGGCCCCAGCGCAGATGGGACGGGGCCTTCCTGACACCCGGACCCGCCTCCCACCCTGGCCCACGCTCGCCTCCACTCCAGGCCACTGTCCACGCCCTTGTCCTGGATCACTTTTCCATCGTGAACTAATCACCAAGTGGACGGCGGGATTGATTGGTTTGTGGGCCTGGATTGTTGGCCAGTCCTTGGAGCGAGGGCGGAAGCAGCCCTGTCATGAACACGTGAACTAAGAAGACCCTGGAACCTGTGTGTGAGGGAGGGCACTAGGGGTGCTTGCTAGCTAAGCAGTAGCCATTGCACGCAGTGTCCAGATGCCAGCTGCGGGTCCTGAGGGGCCCTGTCAGGTCGCCTGCGGAGGTGTGGTCTGGCGTGTCAAGGGTTCAGGCAGGTAGTTAGCTTCTGTGTCTTGTCAGTGTCGGGCGGAAGGACATGCAGAGAAGGGCCTGGGGCACTTCGGTGGCGCAGGGCCTGGTCTCCTGGAAGGCCTTGAAAGTTGCCTAGAGGAGATGTTGTCAGATGTTGTCTAAGCGCCTCGCCAGGCTGAGCCCGCACAAAGGCTGTTCTCGCCCCCGGGAGCAGCACGTGACGGCCACTGTCACAGACCGCGCAGTGGGAAGTCGGGAGGGTGCAGTGGAGGAGTTGCTGGTCCCGGGGGCTGCGGCATGTGAAGGCACATGCCTCTCCCAGGAGCCCCGGCGGCCCTGGGAAGTTATTGGGGAGAGGAGCCCCGTCAGAAGCAGGTGCCACGGCGCGCTCGACAGTGACCACACTCAGTGGTGCTGGGTGGAGAGGAGGGGGCGGCCTGGGCGGAGTCAGCCTGCCACAAAGAGTGACTGGATGGGCGGCTGTCATGGGCGCCCTGGTGATGAGCTCCGCCGCACCACTGCAGCTCGGGGATGAGAGCGTGGAGCGTCGGGGCGAGGAGAAAGGCGGTCAGTGCAGGTTTTGCCCACGTCGCGTGTGTGAGGCCTGTCGGGTTTCCTTCACGCGTGCGGGCGCAGGCGGCTGTGTCCTCCCAGGAACTGGCAGTGCTGACAGTAAGGGACGAGGCGTCTTGCAGGTGAGGATGGCTGGAGTCCCTGAGGCGGGGGTGCAGAGCAGGGCGGGGGGAGGCAGTGCAGAGCCTGCCGGAGCCCCGGTGACACTGCTGTGCAAGCGCCTGCTTTTGAAGTGTGTCAGGGGTTGGCAAGGAGCCAGGGAGGAAGGCCCAGAGGGGCGGCCCAGCAGGTAGTACGTGCAGAAGTCGTAGGAACCAGGGAACAAGCAAAGGTCCTCACAGGGCGCTGGGCCGATGGTGGCGTGCGGACAGAGTGAGAGCCTGCACAGCGATATGCGAGATGCGCCGTGAGGACAGGCGGCAGCACGGGCCCAGCTGCCACACCCTGTCCCGCTGCAGAGCCCGACACCCAGTGTCCCTGTGCGTTTGGGCAGTGCCTGTTGCTGTCCACTTTAAGAACCAGTCTCATTGCCGGGCAGAGGAGTGGTCACCATTGGGCGTGGAAAGGGCTGTGGTCTAGGCAGTGTTGGCCATGGAGGGCCGAGCAGACCACCCAGGTCGGCCATCTGGGTGTGGGTCGCAGTTACAGGGACACATGTGCCTGCGTGGGTGCGCAGGAGGTATGCGACCTTACTGTCTGCAAGGGACACCTCTGCTTGAAAAGAATCAAAGGACTGGAATTCTAGAAGCTGTGAGTGGACAGCAGTCTCTGGTGCTGTAGAGCATGTGAGCCTGGGTCTGAGCCGCTGGAAGATGGGTGGTGGGGTGCCGGCCTGTGGGCACAGCAGTCTCAGAGCACTGAAGGGAGCTGCTGGTGGGTGATCATCTCTCTCTCTTTCAGGCAAGAAGCTCAGCCTATGAGTGGGTCAGGACGGTTCTGGCCCAGCCATCAGTGGAAAGGGAAGGGGGAGAAGAGCAGTTGGAAGCAGAAACCGAACAACTGAACAGCGTTTCCATCGAGGTGACGGGGCTCCCGAGGCTGGCTTCTCTCTCTAGCTCTGAGGTGTGGGTGGCGCAGTCAGGGCCCGGGTTCTGGGTTGTGGCTCTGCCGTCCACAGCTCCCACCGGCGATCCAGGGGAGGCGCCCAGCTGGGACGCCAGAGGCGTGAAGGACGGGGCCGGGAGGTGTGTGTGTCTCGAGGGTGGTCCCAGGAGCTGCCACCACGTACTTTGCACCTTAGTCACGCGGGCTCACCTGACCCGAGGGTCTCCGAGCCCAGCGGCGCGGCCGAGTCGCCGCCGGGGTGGGGCTCACCGAGGGGCCGCGCAGGCACGCGCTTCCTCCCCTGACCTCCGTTGTTTCTGCCCAGGACATCCACGCCTCTGCCATCCGGAGCCTCGCGGAGCTGACGGCCTGCTCCATCGAACTGTTTCACAAAACGGCGGCCCTGGTCCTGCATGGCGGGAAGCAGGACGTGACTGCCTTAGACCGGGGCCGGGCCCTTTCCCAGTAAGTGGCTGAGCCCTGCCCGTCGGCGCGTCCCCGGGGCCGATGGGGCCTGTGCCTGCGGCACCACTCACGCCCGGGGCTCGTTCTCGCCGGGTTTTACTTCCGTAAGTGCCGAGGCCATCTGCGGTATGACTCTGCCCTTTTTTGTTGACCAACTCGTGCTCGGAGAAGTCCTTCTCGGATTTTTAGTTCTGAAAGGAATAGAATTCAGCCCGTGACGACGTCACCACCGGAGCCGTGTGTCAGGCTCGGCACTCAGGGCTCACACGCCGAGTTCTGGCTTGTGAGATGGCCTGGGGTTTAACAGCAAAGGAGCGTGGCCTTGGAGAAGTTAAGCCTGGGATTTATTTATCTATTTCATAGATTTATTTATTTATTGTATACAAGACCCGGGGTACAGGCCAGATGTGCGGGGCAGGGGAGAGGTGGTGAGAGGATTCACCAGAGACAGAGCGGGGAACAGAACAGGCAGACGGACTGAAATACACTGCGGAGGGGAGCAGCGGGGAGACAGGAGAGGTCTGCCATGCCATGTGGGTAGCTCCCCGGCCGGCCAGGATAGAGCCCACACTGCAGAGGCTGTGGACAGCTTCACGGCACTGCGCTCAACCACCTGCGCCACCAGAGAGGCCCTAAATCCAGGTCTGTCTGGACCTCTTCCCCCACCACATTGTGATTTCGAACAAAAATAATAGGATGCACGTAGAGAGAGGAGGGGAAGGACCGTTGCCAAGTAATCTCGTTCAGGGATGAGAACTGTCTCTGCAGGCAGCGTGTGACGCGCGCACAGTGTCAGCTTTGGGGGCCCCCTGGTTCTCAGTCTTCTTTGCCCACAGCTTGCTGCTGCGCTCCCTAGGAGGGCTTAACTTCCTTCGTTCCCACTGTCCTTAGGGATGAGGGAGTTGCAGCCTGACGCGGCCTGTGGCATGGGAAGTGGCTGCTCCCGTGCCTGGAGCACTCTTGCCGCTGGCTCCCCCTCCCCCCTTCCTCCTACGTGTGCGTGTGCTCAGGGTGTGGAAGCTGGTGTGGCTGTGTCTTGTACACGTGCATAGGTTCACACTTGCCTGTCTGGCTAGAAGGACGCGCGTGGCTGGGGCAGCTGGGCATGCAGAGACTGGCCTTGAATATTGTGTCGGGGTGACTAGTATCTTTCAAGTACTGTTTTCCCCCTAAATGTGTTCTCTGATTTAGCCCTGAGAGCACAGTTCTCTCTAGGGGTTGCGGCAACAACTTTTCCTACGGCCTGAGCCGCCTCTCCCTGTGGTGTGAATGTCGGCGCAGAGACGTCGCCAGGTTTATTATGTACTTGATTTAACAGCTCACCCCCGTGAGAAGCTCTCTTCTTTCATCCTTCCTGCCAGGAGGGAGTGGTTTTCCTTTGACAGTTGTTCAGTGGCTTGTTGGAAAAGAGCATCCAGAACCCACCGACGCCTCCCCTCCTCCCTAGGATGACCGTGGCGCTGTGCAGAGAGCTGTCCTTCCTGTCCAAGGAGTTCACCAGCTGCCTGACCGCCGCTGGGGTGAGTCGCCCGACGTCGCTCCTGCTCCACTAGCTTTTCAGGCAGACGCGTCCCTGCTCACCTGCGCGCCACCCGTCTCGTCCCTCTGCGTGTTGACCCGGTGGGTTTGGTGGCCTGTGAACTCGGGCAGCCGTCTCCGTCATCCCGTTCTAGCCGGTCCCCGGCTGTCCACAGACGTGCTGTCCTGCCCATGCCATGTCATTGCATCACCACGGCGCCGGGTCTGGCTGCTGTCCTCGAGCGCCATGTTTCTGAGTCTCGTCCACTCTGTCGCAGGCCTCGGGCTCTTTGTTCTCGCCAGAGACACTCGGGAATCTCCGCCACTTTCTGTTTTCCGTTCCCCTGCTGTGAAGCCTGGGCCGTGCCCCCCTGGGCTGTGCGAGGGTCCGCAGTGTACTCTGTTCCCCCGAGACAGCTGGGTGGAGCCCTTGATAAGACCAGAGCTGGCCCTAGTTCTGAGGGGAGCACCTTGCTCACTTGGGGCACCCCCTGCCTGGCACCTGCCAGTGGTTGTGGTGAAGCTGAGGCTTTTTTGGTGAAGGGGTCGTCAGCGGCAGTGGAGGCGTGTGAGCTCCAAGGACAACTCGGGAGCTGCTGCTCATGAGTCGGGAGAAACCTGGAGCGTTTCGCAGAGCAGAGCTGGTGGCTCTGCAGGGGGCGCCCGGAGCTGAGCGCGCTAAGCCGCAGCCTTGGTACAGACCCGCGCCCCACCCAGGGTGCTCTTTTGCTTTCTTTGCAGTGCATTTGGTTTTATTCTCAAGCCACAGCCAACAAAAGTCCCGTAGTTGTAATTCAGCACTAACGCTTGTCACTGCTTTTTTAAAACGCTGAATTTGTGACAACAGATTCAATCCAGACTTCTTCACGAGCCTCAGGTAGCGTAAGAGTCTTCTGCAACGTGAAACAAGGGGAAGGGAGAATTTGATTTATTTTTAATTGAGGTAACATCTGCCTGATACCTTTCAGGTGTTGTCACCATACCACACCCACCACCCTACTCCCCTGTGCTCCCTGGAAAGGGGGAATTAGGAGAATGTTTACACGTCACTAGTGTACCCTAGGCTACGCGCTTTTCCTGAGTGAAGTGCACCACGGTGCCACGTCTGCGTTTCAAGTGCGTTTCATTGAAAATCAACGTGTGCCGTGTGCTGAGGCGGCACCGAGCGCTCGGGTGTGGCCTCCAGCCTCAGGCTTTCTTTCACAGGGCTTCTGTGCTTCCTGAAGTAGGTCTTCTGAGCCAGCCCTTGCCGTGTGTTTGGTGACGGTCCCTTCCCCCGGTAGCCACCTGTGGGCCCTGCCAGCCTGGCCCCGGGCCAGCTCCTTCAAACCACTGCGTTCGAGCACGTGTTCCAGATGTGCACATTTTGTTTTAAAATTGGCCTACAACTCTGGTCACATGGATTTCCACCCCCCTTCCAAAATAAGGATCGTTTTTATTTTTATTTTTTTAAGGATTTACTTATACAAGCACTGGGTACAGTCAGAGGCGCGGGAGGGTGAGAGGATTCACCAGAGCCAGAGCGGGGAGCGGAACAGGCAGATGGACGGAAGACACTGCTGAGGGGAGCAGCGGGCGAGGCGTCTGCCTTGCCATTTGGGTTTCTCCCTGGCCGGCTGGGAATTGAACCCGCGCTGCAGAGGCTGCGAACACCCTCACAGCGCGGTGCTCAACCCGCTGCACTACCGGGGAGGTTTTGAAGATCATTTTTAAAGTCAATACCAAACCGCAAGAGGGCACTCAGTTTGGGTGACAGCCTTGCCCAGGGCCCGAGACTGTCTGCTCTCCCGTCCAGACCTTTTCCTTGCTTCCGCGTGTCTCAGCGTCCAGGCGTGCCTCGGTGCATTCGTGTCCTGCTTATTGTGTTTTTAATGTGCTTTGCTTTTTAATTGACGCTGTATCCTTTCTTCTAGGTTAGAGAAAAGGCAGATGTTCTGAATCCGGTGATCACGGCAGTATTTCTAGAGGTTGGTGATGGAGGTTTTGAAGTCTCTTAACTGCTGAGATACTGTGCATTGGCTCCTTAAATATTTTTCTACTTTTTGATTTTTTCCCCGTCAGATTGGTCCTTAGCCAGGCTGGGTGCAGATGTGGGCAGATGCTGTGTTTGATTCCTATTCCCCATTGATTACCCAGCGGAAGCGGAAGCAGCGGGGTGCATGGGAGGGAGGGCGGTGACGGTCTCTGCGTCCTGCTGGCCCTTGCAGTGAGGGGACACTTCTTAGTAGTGAAGCCCCTTCTGGAGCCCCCGGGAAACCTGAGGGCAGAAAATGACCCGCGGGCCAGCACTGCTTGTGCGGGACTAAGGCCCACGCCAAGGAGATTTGCTATAGTACAAAACAAAACATTTTGTCATTTTTTTGCCTAGAAATTTGCTTTGTTTTGTCAGTGAGGTGGCTGTGTTGGCATAACCCTTCTCAGCACCCTGGGTTTAAGGAGGCGGGTGGTTTAAGTCCTAGGAAAGGGGGTGAGGAGGCTCACAGGGTCAATTACATTCTCTTTTGTGCATGGAATTTTCTGTATTCCATGTTTTAAAGACTCTTGTTAATTGTGCAGGCAATTCAGCTCTTCGGTGACCTGTTCAAGGTCCACCTGGCTGGCCCGCAGCGTAGCCTGTCGACGGCGAGGAGCGCCGTCCCCTTGCAGGGTGCCGCGCTGTGTTCGCGGAGCCGAGTCTGGGCCCCCGGTCACGACGGGCTGCCAGCCCCGTGGGTGGGGGGGCCTTAACTTTCTGGAATCCTCTTTGAGTAATTAAAATGCTGTGACAGGATCTACCCACTCAATCGAGGAGTAAAAACTTTGAATGCAAATTCAAACCGGATGCAAAGAACAGCCCCGGTTTCTGGGAGCCAGCTGGGCAGGAATGCCACCTTCTGTTTTGGGACCATTCACCATTCTTTCCCCCGTGAATTTGCCCGAATGGCTGTGTCTGGGCTTTCATGTGCCGTGGTATGAAGTCAGACAGATGGTGACTGATTCTGCCCCTTGGTAGTTGTCGTTTTTGTGGTTTTTCCCTTTTAAATGGCTGTGATTTTGCGTGTGTGTTTTCCCTGCCCTGACAGGCTTCGAACAGCGCGTCGTACATCCAGGACGCCTCCCAGCTCCTCCTGCCCGTGCTGGAGCTCTCCCTCATCGAGAGCCAGGCGGGACACCCGGAAGCATGAGCGTGGGCGCCGCGCCCTCACCAGGACGGTCAAGAGCGGAGGCCCTTGAGCTGCAGCACGCAGGCAGGCGGGCTCCCAGAAGGCTCAGGTCTCCGCACGGCTCTCCGTAGTTGTTACACTTGTTTGAAGAAGCTTTCGTAGAAAGTCCAGGAATAGTAAGTAGCTCTAGATAAGGGTCCCGGGACGCTCAGGCAGAGGCGCGGGTGTCTGTCTGGCACGATGCAGAACACCAGCGGCTTGCTACGGTTCTGATTGGCAGCCCATGGATGTAAGTGGTTGTTAAGCAAGAGGGAAAGAAATGAATTTAAGATTGTAGATGCATCTGCTCGGCCTGTTAATGCCGTGTACATTCTCCTTTCTGTAATAAACCTGCGACTTTTAGAAAACCAAGGATTGTAAATTCTTGTGTAACAAGCACCCGTCAGGGTGGGATTCTTGGACCTGCTTAGTCTCATCCGCTCACTCTCCTCAGCAGACAGTGGCACTGAGGGGGCACCCAGAGCTGTCCTGTGGCCCCACGGCTCAGCTCTAGCACACGCCCTTCGCTCCGCTGTCCCGCACCCAGGAGCACAGGGGTCAGCTGAACCGGAGGCCATCATGGCCAGTTAGAGACCTGCTCCTGTCGCTCTCGCTCGCACCCGCGGGGGGTGCCTTCTCGGCCCCGGCGCCCAGGGCCCGCGGGAGCCCTTCCTTGGAGACCTGCGCCCTGCAGAGAGGTGCAGCGGCTGTCTGCAGGCGCGGGGCTGGACGCCCCCTGCGCCCTCCAGTGTTTAGGGAGTCAGTGCCCTCTCACTCAAAGATATTTTGGTTTCCTCTCTTTAAAAAAGTTCCCACTGTTTTGTGGGTTTTTGTGATTCAGACACTTCAGTGAGCTCTGCCGCGCCACTTCTAGAGCCTTTAAATAAAATGGTGGTCGTGTAGGGCCTCGTCTGCTCGTGCAGACGTGATCCCGAGATCGCTCTCATACCAGACGCCAGCAGAGCCGCGACGCAGACCGTCGTCCTGGCTCTTCTGTCTGTCCTTGTTTGGGGCGGGCAGCCGGTCTAAGCAGTGGGGAAAATGAGTAGATTGGGATGTGCGCGCCCGAAATCACCTCTGAGGCAGAAGCCAGTCAGCCCAGCTGGGTGGGCGCAGGGGGGCCGGGAGCGGGGCTGGCTCTTGAGTGTTTTGCCCACTGTCCTTCCGCACGTGAGACACGACGCAGCCGTCACCCCCACCCCCGCCATGTAAAGGCCCTTCTCCCCTGCCCGCCAGCCAACCACGGCCCAGAGGCTCCCCCGGAGCATCCACGCACTCGCCTCCACCGAACGCTGCGCAGGAGCAGGAGGGGTAGACGGCTGGCTGGCCCCAAGGGCAGCGGTGGGGTGGCTTCTGGCCCCACGCCCAGCAGCGGGGACACCCCAGGAGCCGTTCCCGTGCCGCGCCTGCTTCTGGAACCACCAGCTTCCCAGACGGTGGGCGCCATCTTCTGGCTGGTCCTCGTCACCGCCGCTGTCTGCCCTGGCCTCTGGGGCTCCAGGGAGTTTTGAGGCCTCCAGAAAGCTGGGTGCCCCGGGGCGGAGCTGCTGGCTAGTCAGGGAGTGGTATGTCTGCGGGCGGCATTGCCTGTGCTGCTCTGGCTGCCAGCTTGTGGAGTAGCTGGACAAGGGCCCCCCCACGCCAGAGTGGGAAGGGTCCCTGGGGACCCTGGGCTCTACGGCTACCCAGGGGCAGGTGGGGAAGCAGACCTGGGGAGAAGCTGGGACTCAACCTGGGCACCCACAGGCCTTCCAGGACGCCTGGTGTCCCCTCTGCCCAGCTCTGCCCCTGCCCGCTGGTCAGAACCCCCCTTTCTCTGGACATGGGCCTGTCAGCTCTTCAGTGTCCTGCTCAGGCCATCCCTGGCCCCCCACGGCCGCCTCCCCCCCCACCCCCGACGCACACCAGGCTCTCCTGGAGCAAACTTGTGAGTGAGGAATTACTTGGGTGTGGGCGCCCCTCTGGGTTCCGGCTCCCCCGGCAGGGGCCTGTCAAGGCAGGAAGGGACAGTGCAGGATCTCTGGGACCCGGGCAGGCGGGTGGAGGAGTCCTGCAGCCCTCGGTGGCTTCTGCAGGCTTTTATTGGGATCCACCAGGTCCACGGCGGGCGGGGGGCCGGGCGGCCAGGAGGCTGGCAGGCCTCCCAGCTCCTGGTGAACCTTCACTCTTCCTGGGCTCTCTGGCCTCCCGTGGTCTCGTTCTCTCTCCTGCTGCTCTTAAGTCCTGCGCGCTCGCTTGTCCTGGTGGTTCTGTTCCCTGCGATGCTGCTCTTATACGCCCACTCTCAGCCCTGGCGCGCCCGCCTCCGGATGCCCACACCCCACTCCAGGTGCCGCCCTCAGGCGCACATTCAGGACGGCAGGGATCCCTCGTCGGCGCTCATGGGGGGAGGGCGGGACAGCCTGACAGTCGTTTACCCTGCAGGCCCCACCTTCGCTGAATGGTGGGCCCTCCCGGCTCTGCCCCCACTCCGCCCTGTGCGGCCCAGGCCTGGGCTGGCTCCCCCGCGGCCCCACCTGGGGCGGGAGCGTCTGGGAAGAGTGCTGTCTGCGCGCAGAGCTCATGGACGCCCGGGCGGGTCTGCCCAGCGTCCAGGGCCGCGCTGGCCTGAATGGTGCTGTCGGTGGAGGCTTGGGGCCTGGCCAGGGGGCCGCAGTGACCAGGTGGAGGCGCAGGGACGGCCGGAGGGCCCGCCCCATGCCTGGGCGCGTGGCCGGGAGCCTCAGGCCTGCTCTGTGACTGCCGAGGCTCAGTGAACAGGGCTGAGGTTTCGCGGAGAGATGCCGGCAAGGGACCCTCTCCTCGGCCTGGTCTCGCCGTCTGCAGAGCGGAGCCGTCTCTGTCCGGCCAGGGAGGCGGCTCGCAGGAGGCCGTGGAGACCCCTGGGCCCGCTTACCCTGCCCCGCCCCCGGGCCCCTGACGGTTGTGGAGGGAGGGACGGGGGGCTCCGATCTCCCCATTCCCTACCTGACTTGACTTCCAAAGCACACCCCCCCCCCCGCCAGGCCCGCCAGGCACAGGGGTGGGGCTGTGGGGGCTGAGACGGGCCCATGGACGTGCACTGGGTGGCGGGGCAGGATGGACGGCCCGCCGGCCTCCTGGGCTTCGCGCCGGCCAGTCTGACGGAGGACCTGACGGTCACCTGGGGGCTGTTAAACAATGCAGACCCCCCAGGCCATCGCCCCGGAGTGGATTTAGAGCCTCTTCGGTGGGCCGAGCACCGGTTTGGCAGGAGCTCCGGGACGGTGCGGAGGCCCCGGCAGGTGGTGTGCTGGGGCGAAGGTCCAGGACAGGCTGACCTTGGCCGTGGCTGGCACTGTTTGCTCCACGTCCGGTTCTGTGTGGAGAACTGTGGCTCCAGAGCCCAGTCCCCCACCCCTACCCAGGCCTTTCCAGTTAAATCGTCCACGCTGCCCTGCCCCGGCCCAGCTCCAAGGCTCCCAGCTGGGATGAAGACCCCGGGTGGGGCTAGAATCCCAGGCGGGAAAGCGGCTTCTCCGGCAAGGCCTGGTGACGCCAGCAGGTGGCGGAGCCGGACCAGGCAAGCAGCCGCGCCAGCTCAGCGCAGGAAGAAGCCCCTCCCTCCGCCTCCCGTTCCTGGGGTCCCCCCCCCCAGCACCATCCTGAGCCGGCAGCTTTGCACGTGCTGCAGGTGGCCCTACCGGCCACGGCAGCTTCCCTGGCGCTCTGCTGCTGGGCAGAGAACTGCCTCAGACCTCCGATGGGTGGGGGTCTCTAGAGCTGCCCCGAGTTCCCGGCTGTGGGACCCAAGTCAGGGGGTCCGGCTTTTTAGAGCACGCACTTTAACTAATTGTTGTCATTGTGGTCAGAGCAGATGGCGAGATGCAGCCTTCTGGCAAATGCCCCCGCACCAGCGTGAGGTCCGGAGCTGGTCCTCTGGGCCGCCTCCTGCGTGCCCCTCCCTCCAGCCCCGGGGAGAGGGTGTTCGGGGTTTTCTGCCCTTTTTGGCCCTGGGAGGTGCTGGGAGGGCTCTGGGCCCCGGAGCCTGTGTCTGGCTCAGGAGCGGCTGCCGCCTGCCCTGCTGGGCCGGGCTGGCTTCCTCTCCCCGGAGGCCAGGCCTGGATGGCGCCCTGGTCAGCAGCCTGGCAGGACATACCTCCCTTGCTGGCTGTCCCACCTCCGGGTGGGGCCTGGGCGAGAGATGGGGGCAGACGGGCATGGTCCTCCGGGAGCAGGTGCTGCGGTGCGGCCGGGGGCAGCTCCCGGCAAGGACAGAGGCTTGGAAGGTACATGGGGCCCCATCTCTGGGCCGGGACAGCGTGGCAGTGCCTGGGCCCAGGAGGGGCAGTGGGTGGAGAGCAGAAGTGGACAGAGGCTGCTGGTCACGGAGGAGCAAGTCTGAGGGCGGAGGCTGGAGGGAGGACAGGCAGGTGGGTTGATACCAGCACCTCTAAGCCCTGGGCGGCCCCCAGGGGGCCCGTGCCCATACTGGGGCCTGGCAGGAGGCTGCCCCCGGGGAAGGATCTTAGGCAGGCGGCTGCCCGGGTCTGCTGGCGCTTGGGGGCGCTTGGGGAGGCTCCTGCACACGCCCCTTCTCGCCTCCCTGGGCTCGGCGGCTCCGGCTGCAGCAGCTCCCTGCGGCGGCTCCCGGGCCCTGGCAGCCGGCGTGGCTCTGCGGTGGAGTTTCTGTTTGTCTCTGGCAAACTGAGAGAAAAAAGACCAGAAGTGAAATTTTAATGAGGCGAGGGTGCTTTCATTTTTAGGACTGAACTTTATTCTGAGGCAACGACCTTCCTTTTGGTGTTAAATGCTCTTTCTTTTGTGAAATGATTATGAAGCCAAGTCTCGTGTCGTCCTTCCTCGCTTGGCCACTCCAAAAGCTGGGAGTTCTCCGGGAGACCTTTCTGTGCCTGGCCTGTCCCCCTTCGGGCTGCGTGTTTGTCTGTATACAGCAAGCACCCCCACATGCAGGTGCCCCTGGCGGGTGAGCCCACCCTGGCGGATGTCCCCTGTGCTTGGCCCAGGCGCTCTCCAGCAGCAGACCCAGGTCTGCTCCGGCCGCCCCGTGGCCAGGGCCGTGGTGGGGGCCCAGCGGGGTTGGGGGGTGGCAGGCCGGCCCGGGCTGTGCCCCTCTGGGTGAACCCCTGACATCCACACGGCGTCTCTGGAGTCTCCCGACACACTTCACTTTGCAGACACTGCAATTCAGTTGAGAATCCTGGGAGGAGGTGGCTCCTGCACTCTCGGGGGGCCCTTGAGCACCAGGTGTCCTTATGGGAGAGGTGTGGAGTTTCAAGACGGGTGCCGGCCGGGATGGGGAGGCTGTGACCTCAAGCCAAACACCCCACGAACTGCAGAGACCAGCCCAGACTCCCCAAAGCCTCGGGGTGCGTGGCCCTGGTAATGCCTCGACTTGGGGTTTCTGGGCTCCGGACTGTGAA